ATTGAGGACAAGGAGATTGCATTAGACAGTCTAATGTCTCCCTTGCCAGAGATGAGAACAAGGGAGTCATCAGCAATAGACACTTTGYCTTTGCTAGAGGATAAGCAATAAGTAGTAAACAATGAGGATAAGCTAGTCATATGGTCARATGCACCTGAATCTATAACCCAACAAGGTTCATTGTTACCTAGGAATGAGGCATGATATGCTGAAGCTCTTGTACCTGAATGAGTGAATGCTGAAGTGGGAGTAGCTGATGTTGTAGAAGGTAACTGAGATGAGGGGGCTGAAGTGCCAACTTCACTTTCCAACTAAGTCAAGGCAACTCGGACAGCAGCTAAAGTGTCTAGAGATGTGGCTCTTGTGTTCGAGGATGATACACCATCAGTAGTAATTGCCAGATTAGCATTCCCCTTTTTGTTTTTGAGCTTTGTTGGAATTAGATGTGGATTCAACTTCCAACAAGTGTCCTTTGTGTGCTTTGGTTTCTTGCAATGATCACAAATTACTTCCCTCCCATCTTCTTTCTTCATATACCTTTTGTAAAATCCCTATTAGATTCTAGGTTAAAGTAGAGAAGAAGAAGAGAAGAAGAAGGAGGAGAAGAAGGGTTCGGCCAGATTAGGAAAAATCAGTTCACCTTTAGCCGACCCACTTGTATTTATCTCCAATAACATAGTTACAAGAAAGACCATATTGTCTCTCATAAGTGATGGGACACATAACTTAAACTTAAATAAAATANTAAACTTCAGTTTCACTACTGTTAGGGCTGATTCCATAGGCTAATATTGTAGCATAACCTTTCTCCTACTTTCTTCACTGTGCACTAAGGAATAGGCCTGAGAYAAGGTTGCACTCTCCTTGGTGAGAAGTTGTTGCCTCACAATATCATATTCTGGATTCAGATCAGCTAGGAATTCAAAAACTTTATTKGTTTCAATCTGTTTTATGTATGTCTGTGCATCTTTTTGACTTTCCCACTCAATTGTCTCTAGGTGATCAATTTCATGCCACAAAGACTTCAAATTAGAGAAGTAAACTGAGACCAGCTTCTCCCCCTAGCAACGTTAAGTGGCTGGGAATAGGTTTCTCTCATGATGTCCCAAATTTCCTTAGGAGTTTTGGCCCACAAGTAATTTCGGCTGATATGAGGCTGCACGGAATTTCACAACCAAGTCATGAACAAATAATTCTCCTAAGCCCATTTCGCATATAATGGGTCTTCCTTGGCTGGTTTCTTTACATGCCCCATCACATAGCCTATTTTCCTCTTCCCCTAATAGCCATCGTAGCTGATTGAGCCCATTCCAAGTAATTTGATCCATCAAATTTGATAGTGGTAATCTGAAAATTATTTTCAGTCATGTTTCCAGCTCCCAACACAYCTTCCCCTTGGGTCTTTAACTCAGTTTCTGATATCTTAGACTCACATGAGAAACCCTAGGTTGGCTCTAATACTAAGTTGTGTTGTAGAGACTGTAGTCAGTCCTACTGTAGATGAGAATTCAACAAGAGAAATTTCAGAAAATAGAAGAGAGAGAAAAAAGAGGGAGGGAGAAGAAGAAGGGGAGRGAAATCGTAGAGAGGAGATTTCAGAAAGAGTGTGGGTCAGTTAATGATTGCCACCCCACTCAGTTGCTATTTATATTAGCACTTAAGACATGGTAGACTTACAATATTGCCCCTACTGTTAACATAAATAAACAGCAGCTAACATAACTGAAATAACTAACTTTCTAACACCACTAACATGCTAACAGCAACATAAATAGCATGCTAACTAACTCTACAGAGATAAAAGTGGAAGTAAAACTTTGGGGCTTCATATTCTTGGAGATAGAAGTGGAAGTAAGTAATCTAATTATGAAGCCCCAGAGAAATCTGATGCCTTTGCAGGATAAAGGAAATTATAATTTCGGTTCCAAAGAAAACATTGTTAATTCAAGGTCAGATTTAGATCAAAGAAATCTGAGTCTAATTAAAGGAGATGGGGTTGGGTGTAGAGGATAGAGAGACTGGTATAGGTGGCACCAGTTTAGTTTTCTAGTAGAAACGTGGTCCTAGATTTGAAAAGAATCAATGATGATCAAAAGGTTTATAAGTTCCTGGAGAGTTTATTTTATTTAAGTATTTCATTGTAGGGTTCTTTC